AGAGACGAGAGAGAGAGAGGAGAAGAGAGAGAGAGAGAAAGTGGAGAGTGAGAGTAGGACGAGAGAGAGAGAGTGAGAGAGAGAGAGAGAGAGAAGAGAGAGAGAGAGAGAGAGAGAGAGAGAGGAGAGAGAAGAGAGAGAGAGAGAGAGAGAGAGAGAGAGAGTGAGAGAGAGAGAGAGAAGAGAGAAGAGAGAGAGAAGAAAAGAGAGAGAGAGAGAGAAAGAGAGAAGAAGAGATAAAAGAGAGAGAGCGAGAGTAAAAGAGAGAGAGCGAGAGAGAGTAAAAAGAGAGCGAGAGCGAGAGAGAGTAAAAGAGAGCGAGAGCGAGAGAGAGTAAAAGAGAGCGAGAGAGAGAGAGAGAGTAAAAGAGAGCGAGAGAGAGAGAGAGTAAAAGAGAGCGAGAGAGAGTAAAAGAGAGTGAGAGAGAGTAAAAGAGAGCGAGAGAGAATCAAAGAAAGCGAGAGAGAGTAAAAGAGAGCGAGAGAGAGTAAAAGAGAGCGAGAGAGAGAGTAAAAGAGAGCGAGAGAGAGTAAAAGAGAGCGAGAGAGAGTAAAAGAGAGCGAGAGAGAATCAAAGAAAGCGAGAGAGAGTAAAAGAAAGCAAGAGAGAGTAAAAGAAAGCAAGAGATAGAGAAAAGAAAAGATAAGAAAATGATACAAATGTTGCAACAAGGAAGGGACAAACACAAGAGAAGGTATGGAAAAGAAGTCAAGAAATGAGATGTGAAGCTGCAGGAAGAGAGAAGTGGGAACATATCACATACACGTTGAATAAGCATATAAAAAATGATGGTAGAAAGTCTGCTACAAAGTCATACCTAGAAAAGGTGAAAGCTATCTCTGAGTATATTTTATCAACAAAAAGGTAAGTAGCAGAGAAGAACAGCCAGTCAGAGATTCTAGAAGTTCATCCCACATGGTGGGAGATATCTTCAAAGAGGTAACAAGCTGCTACCTAAAACTTTCACCTTGAAATCCATGAAATAATATTCCAGTGCAACATTTTCACAATGGGTCAAAAAGCTGGACAAAGAATGAAAGACTAAAACTTCTTTTTATACAGTGTTTCTGCCTAGCTAGGTCTGAACATGGGAACAATTTCAAACCCATCCTAGCTGAACTATTAGGACTCAATAAATAAAAAATAAAACTACAAGGGTAATATTTACTAAATATTAGTGAAACCTAACCAACATTTTAGTTTTATCTTTGCGTTCCCATGACTTCAACACACAGCTGGGCTTGGCCCTTGTCCAGAGTCCAATATGAGAGGCAGCATTACAACCCACGTCAACTTCACCGTCACTCCACTGTTTGGGCTATTTACACATCAGGGTATCTCAAATAATCAGCTATTCCTTTAGGCAAAGGGGGGGGGGGGGGTAATTTATATAACACCTAAATCAATGTACAAAATTCACCTCCAAACAGGCAACACACTGTACAAGCCCCACCCAAGAGTGAAGCCAAAGATATATATGTAGGTGTATCAGTCTCCAAGAAACAGTTTCAGGACAATCCTTTCTGAAGACCTTTCATGACTGGTCTTGCCAAAAAAATTATGAAAAACAACTAACAAAGCTAAGAATTAGGCCACATAGCTATATTCATCTGTTGAATTTGGAGTACGTTCAAGGTATTGTTTATCAATAAGTAACTCTATGCATTTCTTGATCATTGGAATCTGTGGTGCAAATCTTGCTCGAGACTGACTGATCACCTGAGGAGAAAATGAAAAAAATAACAATAAAATCTCATTCTCTTATACTACTAAAAATAATAATTCATGTATTCATTAATATCTATCTTAAACTATTTTACTTGGATCTCAAAAATTCTTTGGAGGCAAACAAATATAAAATTCTCATATATTACCTGCTTGAAAGTACTGTAAACCATTTATTCAAATAAAAGGTACTGGTATATATCTGCCACCTACCAATTACCTATACCTTCCATCATAAATAACTATTTTATTGTGATCTCTATAATGTATCTTACCTATATCATAAGTCTATAATAATGAATGAAAAATTTATGCCAACATTTACTTTTTTTTGGTCTTCATAAAATACTGAAGACTCCAAAACAGGTCCCTCTACAACAAAACAGATCATTGCTAACTTAGCCTTACCTCCTGTATGAGCATTGTATGTTTGAGTAATTTGCGGGCTTTCATTATCCTAACGATTGCAGCCTGCAGGTAAAGTTTTCGGTCCTCTTCCACTGCTGAGTGAGTTTGTTCTGCTTCATGTTGCTGTTCTCTCTGAGGTGCAACACTTATCTTGAATTTTGTTCTTTTATTACTGTAGTCTGTGTTGAGACGTACAACAGTCTCGCCACGAAGTTCCTGTTGGAGAGTGCATTCTGTATAATTCCATGTTCTATTTGGTCTTCCTTTATAAAATTACTGAAATGCTGACTAGTACTGGTGTCATTATTTGAGAATGTTTTGACCCACTAACGATGGGTGTCCCACACATAAGACACCCGAAAAAATAAACATTGCCGGGCGTCCCGCAAGTGTGACGCTGTATCAGGGCTCGTGCTCCGACACAGCAGCGGGTTGCGGCGGGCGGGCAGGCAGAGTCCATGGCAGTCCTGCCTGCCGATTTTGTAGCTGCCCGGAATCTTTTATTTTCGGCTTCAAAATATACCGGCGTTAATGGGTTAATTATGACTTGTTCTGTTTACAAATAAGCATATTGCATAAGGGTAAATATTTGCCACAATTGTGCATAACATATCTGCAGAAAGTCAAAGGAATCTTGGACTTTTGATGTGTGGTTGAGTGACTGCTGATTCTTTATGTTCACCAGCCTACCAACTCAATTCTTTTTCTTCGGATACTGGGAAACTCTCGTTGACACCTATGCCACTAAAGACTATCATGTGCTACATGGAAAGGATGTATAGTGAAAACTTCTAAATTGACCAGATTTGATTTCCAGCTGGTGTGTTTCTTTATAAATTTAATGTAATGCAGAATCCAGTGATCTAATTCACTGAAATATATAAAATGTATTACATCCCATATTATATTTCAATGAAAACCACAAGGGCTCAAATAACACTACTGTTTTTACACAGACTTTTCTTTTAAACACTGAGAACCTTAAGGACTTCCATACCTCACCGTCAGTCATGAGGAGCTTGCTATCCAAGAGAGACTGTAAAAATTTATTAAACTGCTCATCATTGAGGTGTGTGTGTGTCTGCAGTTCGTTGCACGTAAGGCTATCCACCTGGAGAGAGAAAAAAATTAAATATAAAAACAAAAAAAATATATATATATACATGTATTGCATATCTATCTTCTTATCTTCATGAATTGGAAACTGTACATAACACTAAAGTACCCTGTTTTCAAAACATAATAACAAATGAATGAAATGATTCACAATCAAATAATATTTAGTCAGCCTCTACAAAACGACCATGAAACACCATCAAACATTTAATTTCAAAAACAAGTCTCGATAATTTTAAGTCAAACTTTACTAAATTGTCAACTCCTTCAGCACTGACAAATGAATGAACAGATTTAATATTCTCTCACCTTCTCAAACATGAGCAACATTGCCATCTGGAAGGTGGACATGGTGATGAGGTACGTTCTCTTGCTGTGGCTCACTTTCAACTCCCCTGCAAAGATATTAAAACCCATAAAAAAGATCAATTTAATTCTCATTTTGCCAAATTCTAAGGAGCAATTATAAATCTAAAAATTAAAAAACAGCACCATTCTTCTGCAGATTTTCATTAATAGTTTCACATTTTCTAAACATAGCCAGAAAATTAAATCTAAATGCATCTATTTTCAGGTTTTAAATCAAATTGACAATAGATATAACAAGGAGTTCATAAACTCTCTAAAACATCTTAATTATCCAAGAAACCGTCAATAGATAAAATAAGAAAAACACAAACCTTGACATAAATGATGCAGCCAGGTAAGTTTCCTACCACTGAAGTGACTGTGATAGAAGGTTTCAAACTGCAAAAAAGTGAAATAAAAGTCCATAAGAAATACAGAAAGAGTAGCTCATAAATAAACAGATATTGCTTAAAACCTATTTCATCAATGGATTTCTTCTAATCACCAACAGACTTTGTTTTTTAATGTCAAGCTGTTTCTGTAATATAAAAGAAAAACAAAGACTGGATCAAACTGGATTAAAGTATGCCTGAAAGATGGATGTCTATTCTAGGCCAGTCATCCAAGTCAGGTCATGTTTGGGACAGACATGTGATCTGACCTAATTTGTTCTGCTAAGGTCTATTCTTAACCTGGCATGCCACCTCAGAACAAAATGGGTTGCTCCATGTTTAGCTCACAGTAATTTGAGGGGAAGGGGGAGTAAGAATGGAGTTTGACCAAGGACCTGAATGTGCATCTATTATTCAAACTGCTTTGACAATCTATGCAATTCGTACACATATTAGGCATGTCTTGTATATATGAAAAATATTTCAGAGCCAGAAGACCAAAATACTTTGGGTAGAAGTACAGAGGTCACTTTAACTTTCTATTTCTTCATAAGACATAGATTGAACAATCTATACATGCTCATGTATATACAGGGCATATATGCATGCAAATATGGCATCAATGGGTTAACATAAAAATTACTTTTTAAAAACATCTCATTTCTTTTGGACTAAGCATTTC